CCTCAAGTGGCTGCAATGGCTGGAGCTGAACTGATCTGAAGCCAGGAGCCAGAAGCCTCTGCTGGGTCTCCCACGCAGGTGCAGGGTCCCACGGCTTTGGGCTGTCCTCGGCTGCTTTCTCAGGCCACAAGCAGGGGAACTGGATGGGAAGTGGTGCCTCCTGGGTTAGAATTGGTGCTCCTATGGGAACCCAGCACATGCAAGGCGAGGACCTTAGCCACTAGGCCATCATGCCAGGCCCAAGAACATTGATTTTAAAATTGACTACTGGCTTCTAATCTAATTCCACTTTGGACAATACAACTGAAATTATTCAGAATTTGAGATTTATATTTTGTCAGAGAATATGTATACTCTATTTGAAAAAGCAGGTATATTCTACTGTTATTGGACAGGCTAGTTTAAAAATAGTTTACCTATCTTGGCAGATTTTTATAACACATGAAAAGCATACATATTCTGCTTTTGTTTAGTGGAATATTTTGTCGGTATCATTTAAGTCAAGTTGACAGTATAGGGACTGGTATCGTAGTATAGTAGGTAGCACCTCTGCCTGTGACAGAATCATTCTCTGTAGGCACCAGTTGAAATCCTGCCTGCTCCACTTTGGATCCAGCTCTCTACCAACAGACTAGGAAAGCAGCAGAGAATGGCAGTGTTTGGGTTGTTGCTGTTTGTGTGCAAGACCCTGAGGAGAATCCTGGCTCCTGGCTTTAGCCTGCTTCAGCCCTGGTTGTTGCAGCCATCCAGGGAGTGAACCTGTAGATTGAAGAACCTCTTTTGTTTCTCCATGTCTCTCTGTCAAATTCTGACTTTCAAATAAATACTTCATTTTACAAATAAAGGCATCTGTGGCTTTGCATATATTATGCCTGCTTGTTCAATTACTGAAGGAAGAATATTGAAATCTCTGACTATAATTATGGTCTTGTCTATATTTCCTTTTAGTTCTGTCTGTGCCTCATGTAGTCTAAGCTCTGTTATTCAGCACTTAAACATTTAGAATTATTATGTCTGCTACTTGACTTGACCTTTGGACATTATAAAGTGATCTTCTTTATCCCTAGTAATAGTCTTTGCTCTGAAACCTACTATTTCTGGTGTTAATATAGCTACTCCAGCTTTCTTCGGATTCATGGTGTTTGGCATGTCTTTTCCCATCTTTTTATTTTTAACCCATTTGTGTCCTCATGTTTGAAATGCATTTACTGCAAGCCATATAATACTTGGATGTAGCTTTTATTATTATTATTCACACTAGCCTTCTCTGTTTTTTATTGGTGGTTTTGGGGGTGTTTAGACTACTTTAATTTGGTATAACAGCTGGTGTGGCCAGAGTAGATCTATTAAGTTGCTATTGGCTTCCTGTTCTGTCTATTCATTGATTTTTTTTTCTGCCATCTCTTAGGTAGTGCATTTTATTATTCTATTTTATAGTGTTTGCTCAAGATTTTATCACAGTCTATCTTCAATTCATACTATAAAAACTTCATGTATATTGTAAAGATGTTGTGGTAACATACTGTCATTTCTCCCCTCTCAGCCTATATTCTAGTATCCCATTGTATTTATGCATGTGTTACAAGCCCTGCAGTATCTGCTCAACCAACTATAAAGACATTAGAGTAATACAATACATCCTAAAAGTTTATCTTTGATATACTATTCTTGCTTCTCATAGTTCCTTTGTGTAGTTCTATATTTGTGTCAGATATGTTTATTTTGCCTAAATGACTTCTCTTAACATCCATGTAATGCAGATAGGTCTCCTGGTGATAAGTTCTGCTAACCTTGTTTATGTCTTAAAACATCTATTTCATCCTTTTTGAGAAATATATTTTCACTGGCTATGTAATTCTAGATTGGCAGGTGGTTGGGTTTTAATTCTTTGCAGTAATTTGATTGTGTCATTCCACTGTCTTCTGACTTTCATTTTCCTCACGAGGAATATGCTGTCATCTTCGTACATTATGTGTCTTTTAGATTCTCTCTTTGATATTTACTTTGAACAATTAGATTATTATATGCTCTGGCATTTTCTATATGATTTTTATGCTTCGGATTTGTTGAAATTTCTTGATCTGTGAGTTAGTAGTTTTCATTAAATTATGACAGGTTTTGGCCATTGTTTCCTCAAAAATATTTTCTGTCTTCCCTTCTCTTCTTTTTTTTTTTTAAGATTTGTTTATTTTTATTGGAAAGTCAGATATACTAGGAGGAAGAAAGACATAGAGGAAGATCTTCCATCCAATGATTCACTCCACAAATGGCTAAAGGACTGGAGCTGTGCCAATCTGAAATCAGAAGCCAGGGCTTCGTCTGGGTCTCCCACATGAGTGCAGGGTCCCAAGGCAGGGAGCTTGATGGGAAACAAGACAGCCAGGATTAGAACTGGTACCCATATGGGATCCTGGCACTTGAAAAGTCAGGATTTTAGCCACTAGGCTACTGCAACAGGCCCTTCTCTTCTGTCTTTTGAGGCTCCAATTACATAAATATAATTTAAATTTGTCCCATTTATCATTCATTTATGCTCTTTTTATCTACTTTTATCCCTGCCTCCTCTATGTATTACAGAGGATAATGTCTATTGCTATGTTTTCAAGTTTCCTATTTTTTTCCTTCTGCAATATGTTATCTGCTGTTAATCTAATCCAGTGTGCTTTTCCTCTAAGACTGCTTTATGATTTAAATTCTTTACTTGTTTGACAATCTTTGGTTATATTTCAGGTATTTTGAATTTTATCCCATTGGTATCTGAATATTTTTGCATTCCTGTAAATACTTTCTAATTATGTTCTGGGATGTGATAACATTGCTTTGAAATATTTTGTTCTCATGTGAAAGACCCGAATGAAAAAAGAAAGACCCTTCTAGCTCCTGACTTCTGAGTGATCCAGCTGTGGGCATTGTGGCCGTTCGGAGAGGGAATCAGCAAATGGAGACCTTTCCCTCTTTCGCTCCTGGTCTCTCTGTAATTCTATCTTTAAAATAAATAAAACTTTCTTTAAAGAAGACATAGTTTGATACTTTGATGACTTGATATTAAGATTTGTTTGAAAGAACCAAAGCAGCATCTTTTCTATGGCTAACTACTCCCCACTACTGACGATTCTACCCAAGACTTACAAATGGTGAGGTGTTCTAGTAAAGCTGATGGGACAGAGTGCTATTCTTGACCTGTTTCCTCTGGTCCTCACAAATAAGTCTTTTTCTTCATACACAGTGTGTAGATCTGTGCCCTAGGGGAACATCTGCATTTTCCAGCGTTCTCTTTCTCTGTGCATCTCTGTCACAATCGTTATTTTGTCTTGGTTTCCTCGGACTCTCAGGTCCATCTGCTGAATTTAGGGGTCCACCTGGTTCTATTTCGTTTCCTCTTTCTGTGCCATGACCTGGGAGCTCTCTGACAGTGGGATAATGAGAGGACTCACTTCTTTTGTATCTCCTCTTCTCAAGGATTGTTGCCTTTGCTGCTGATATTCAGGGTCTTTAAAACTATTGCTTTATGGATTCTGTCTGGTTTGTTTCAAGCAAAAGGGTAAATGAGGCCGTTACTGTTCTGTCTTTGCTGGAAGCAGATATCCTCAACATTTTAAGTGGTCTTCTTATGCAGCTAACCTAGTCAGAGAACAAGAACCTTTGTTTCCTGGGAGTCTTCTGTGCACCCAGCACTGTGCTAGGAATATTCACACGATTCAGTCCTGTAAATATGTACTGGGTGCCTACTAAGTACCAGGGACATTTCCAGGAGTTGGAAACATGTCACTATACAAGACAGGTTTTTAAAATATCTATCCTGGAACCTGGCACAATGGCTCAATTGGCTAATCCTCCTCCTTAAAGTGCCAGGATCCCATATGGGCACTGATTCATGTCCCAATTGCTGTACTTCCCATCCAGCTTCCTGCTTGTGGTCTAAGAAAGCAGTAGATGGCCCAAAACCTTGGGACCCTGCAGCCATGTAGGAACTGCGGTAAATGATGAATAAGCAACTAATCCTCAGCCTGTATAAGTGTAGTGATACTGTCCATCTTCTCAACCTCTAGGAATCCATGAGCGTTGATACATGTTTATGTATGCAAAAAAAGGACTTTTGGACTGATCGGGTGAAAACTTATCTTTATACTCAAGCATGTGACTTTTTTCCCAGGAAAAGTGTAAAGAAATAAAGCACTCACCAGAGTAGGCAAGTAGAGCCAGACAGAGTAGGATATGCTCACCTTTTTTTAACTATAAAGAATCAAAATAGAAACTAGGAGCTTTTACTCTAGAAAGTTGTACTCCAAGTCCTAACTTAGATAGAGAGCAGAGAAAACAGTACAGTAAAATGCTAATAGCACAGTTATTAATGGAGAGTAATTTAAAACCTCTGGTTGGTTTGAAAAGCTTAACTAGAGTTTTTAAATGCATGTTATTAATTACTGTTATTAATGTGAGGTTTATAACCTGATCCTCTTTTGGAAACTAGTTATCAGTAAGGATTTTTAAATATGCCCGAAAAACTGAGAATTGCGCTCCCATGAAACGTAGCTTTCCCTTCCTCCTGTCTTGCCAGAATGCTCCTTTTATCAACAAGCAAAGGGCCTGGCAGGATAGACATGCACTAAGTTTCACCTCACTAATTTATAAAGATATGTATGTTCTGGTTGGATGAGGAATCCTCTGCTCTCAATGCTTCTTCATTGCTGTCAAGGGAGAGGTCTGGAGCATTTTAATGACCACAATAAAGATGACATCTATTCTCTCTCTGTCTACAAAAAAACCTGAAAAAACCAGCAGACACTTACCTGTACTATTTAAACAGAGGATTGTAGGCTTGAAGACTAAATAAAATAGAAAAGACAGTCATGTCCTAGTTTCTCATTATGCCTTTTGAAATAATTTGTATATACCTTTTAAATAATTTCAAGTGCCGCAAAAAATAATGTTAACAGCTTAAAATCAAAAGTTAAAAAAAAAGCCCTAAGTATAATTTTTGAAATCTTTTTCTCTTCAAGCGTTTTACGATGGGATAATGAGACAGATGTCTCTCAACTGGAAGGACATTTTGACATTGTTATGTGTTCTGACTGGTAAGTACATAAAAATCATCAAACTCCCGTTAGGAAAAAAAAAATAGCTTTGCTGGAATAATTGGGCTGTGCTGATTTGCTGACGGCTCAGCAAAGTCAACAAATGAAGCACAAAGCCACCCTAACCTCAACAAATTAATATTCATCTCCATGTGACAGTTATAAGGTAGTCTTCTATCACACAGTAACTTCTACCACATTATTTCCCAAAGATTGATTTTGAGAAGCATTTCCATTTTCTGGAATTGCCTCTGTTTCATGCTTGACGTATCAGTAAATGGACGACTTAGGCAAATTGCAAATAATTATGGTTCGAAGAGGAGTAGTGTGGAGAAAAAGGAGTTTATCAACACAAACAGCTCAATTAGCTTACTTCTTAGGAGAGATCTGACTATTGATATAAGGGAACACACGTATGTGTACACACACATGTATCTCCAGCAAATAATCATTACCTGTGAAATACCTTGGGAGAATTAACTTTTCTTAAAATGTGGATTTGCTGTCTAATATTTTCAGCATTTCCAATTGTGATATTTCATTATGTGTAAAACAAAAATTGTAAGCTTACATTTTATTCTATCAAAATAAGAACATTAGGATCTCTGTCTGGTACCTGCTTTTAAAAATCATTTACATTAGATGCTTTGTCTTCCCTTATGGCCCAGTCTACTGATTTGTTAATGAAAGTCTGATCCTAAGTTATATGAAAATATGCATCAAATCTTCATAATTATTTCAACGATTCCTATGTATGTCTCCATGCAACTTGAATAATAATTATTTCAGTGAATTGAAAACACTGACAACTCATGAGTATTTTTCCTAAGAGTAAAATCTTACTGGTAGTTTTATCATGACTCTGATTATGAGACTTCAGATTTGAAAGCCCAAGAAAAGCCCAAGATGTGGAAGTTCTATAATGTTGCTAAGCCCATCAGAACATCACAAACCCAGAGATGACTTTCCTGAGAATAGAATGAAACTTTGAGATCTTTTCATTATTATTTTGTTGTTGTTATCATTTTAATAAGATTTCCAATGTATAATTTCAATAAGGAAATCTATGGTATCAGCTTTGCAATTGCTGTTCTACTGGAAAAATCCTTCTCAATGAAAAAAAATAAGTATTTTGTTCTGCTTATGGCTAAAACTTTCTGGTTTTTTGTGACTCTTTTCATCTTTTTGCATCCAGTTTCAAAAACCTCCTTCCTAACCAGGGGAGGAACCTAGATTTCTGACTAATCATTGGTAATGTGCCTCGGTGCTGCTTCCCCCATCTAATCCACAATAAGGAGCTAAACCTCACCGTATGATTTCAGAGAGTAATTTAGTAAATGCCTTTCCTCACCAAATACGAGAAAGGATCCTCCAGGTTTCATTGCACAGATGAAGATAATGCTGGCAGGATTAGATCAGATTAAACAGCAAAGTCAGATCAGAGAGCAGCGGCAAGAGGGAAGGGGCAGCCTCTTCTTGATGCTGTCACTGAGGGTCGCGCACAGATGGCTCTGATGATGTGTGGAGAGGCAGAGGTGGCCAAGAGCTTTGGAGTTAAATTTGTCCTTCACACAAATATCAAAACTGCTGGGCTTTGTCAGAGCTTGTGTTAGGGACACTCACACCATGTCATCCTATTTGTACCAGACAAGTAGAGGAAGTAAGATTTAAGCTCTTTGCTGATTAATGTTCTGAGTTAGGTTAAAAATAGCTGTACAACATGTAGGGAAAATGGTCTTTTTTTTCCCCCCCTAGCCAACAACAAGATCACATAAACTGATTCACACACACCGCCTATTGCCTTTAAAGCATTCATGACAAATAAGGAACACATCATCTGGTGGCTATATGAAAATTTATGGACTCAAATGAGCTAAATATGCTGAGTTTCTTTTTATAAATGGCTTTTCTATGCATGAATTGTTATGTTCCTTCCCTCCCCGTGTTCTAAGTGCCAGAATGTCATCCTGTTTATAATTTCCCATTTGTAAATGTGAAACATTAAGCTATTCCCCCTCCAATGCTGATATTAGTTCCAAAAGAAATGCTTTGGTAATGGTCTTTCTTTGCATGCACTGGGCTGGGAGAGCTGCTTAAAACCTAAAGTAACATTTATAACGTACACAGTGTGCATATAGCAGGGACACCTGGGAGCCAATGACTTCTTTATGTCCTGTGCATCTCTGAAGGAGTCACTGCCTGGATACCACTTTGAGGGCCAGGTAGGCAGGCAAGCAGCCCACGCTGCATTTGTTGAGACTATCACAGAAGAGGAGAGGAAAACACTCTTCTGACACCACCTCCAAGAGGAAAGCTGAAATGCCCAGTAGCAGAAATAGGTGCCACATGTAAACAGATCACGTTATGTCTCACGCCAGTCAATGAGATCTGGATTCGGCCACAGGCGTAGGAAGCCAGAGTTGGAGTTCAAAAATTAGGTACATGGATTAAATTAGTATTGAAGTGATTCAAGCAAGGATGGCATTGTCTGATTGCCTGAATGGCCAACTAGTGGTACAGCTTGATCTCATTTACATGAAGACAAGCTCTATTCACAGATGTGTTCCGAACCCACATTGTGGTTCACATAAAATGCACACAATTAAAACAAGCCACAATGTATTAATGTTCTTAAATCATTCATATATTCATATATTTACTTTCAAACATTCATAAGCCTACAGACACTGGGATAAATAACTGATTTCCCAGTAGAGACAGTCTGTTAGTTCACACTGAAATTTAATAACTCAACTAGATTATGAAATAAAGAGGCAAACTTCGAAAGCTAGTCATTGCTTCACAGTCCAGCATATGTGAGAATGAAAAATAGTTTCATGGTACAATAGTTCCTGAATAACTTGTTAAATTTTAAAATAAACAGAAGCAGAAAAAATTCAAGGTACAACCACACCTTCTATTGACGAACATCAAACTCTGAGACTATTTAATCATAGGGGTAGGGGAAAAAAATGGCCCTATCAAGTTCCTCATTTGACTTGTTTGACGCTGAATCTAACATAAGGATTCCTTTCTCTGACCATGCATTACAGTCCGGTCCTTGCTAAGTTTACAATGGCAGGTGACTGTGAATTTTAAACTAGCCTTTCCAGACTCCTGTTCAATCATGATACAACCTATGGGTTTGGAAATACGATGTTTGTTATCCAACAAATGCTTCCATTCAGTGCTTGATAACTCTCCAGCATATCATAGCTGTGTAAAAATAGAAGCTCCTGTGCATCCTTGAATTCTCAAAAGGCCGAGAAAGCTGGTCTAACATGCTACCCGTAGGCCAACCACTGAGCAAACTCAGGGAGCTGGAGACGGATGTCAGTTGCCACACCTGTGTGTCTACAGCCTGAGATCTGGACAAGGGAGTGGGACAGAGAGCACAGGGTCCTGGGGCACTCATTCTGCTTGCTTTCGGTGCACACTTGCATGCTTGATGGGTGTAGTGAATTTCTCTCTCCAACCCTTTCTTACTTCCTCTGAATGATGAAAAAGTTTGGTTTTTAAAGCTGTTTACATGAACATGTTGTGGTTTTTTCTGTGCAAATATAAAGACTCGGGGCTCTAGATTTTTCTTTCAAATGCTATCATCATAGGTAGCTCTAAAGCACAATAAATAGATTGTTACACCTGAAAGATTTTCAGTTTGAACATGTTCAGCCCTTTTCACTTCAGCCTTAGGAGACTCAGCCCCAGAAAAAATATACCAATCTCCTGAGATCTCAAGCTGAAAGGGTAAAGGCACATGAGACCAGTCTATGGAATCTCTGGGCACTGCCACAAAACTCAGTTGATAAAATACTGAAAGCCTCCATGAAAATTAAATATGAAACAGTGGATTCAACTTAGCACATCTCATCTTGAAAATCACACAGGGATCTTTCTTTCTATGGATACAGACAGAAGGAAGACATCTCCTTGTCCACGGTACTAATAAATGCCCTTGTGAGAGCAATTACAGATGCTGTGTGCTTCTGCGTAGAAGTCTGACTCCAAGAGAGGAAACGAAATGGTCCAGCACCTTTCCTTTGTGGGAACAATCTGTGACACAGATCAATAGAGCAAAGCAAGTGTTTATGTCACTATGAATTATACAAAGGTGTGTGTGTGTGTGCTTAATAGCCAAACTAGACTGTCAATGTATTTTGATCAGTAACTGAAGGGAGAGTTGAAATGATATCTCCATCCTCATCATTGACCTACTTGGCCTTTTAAAATAGATCCACTTAAGCTGCTGCTGTTCCCTGAGCCCATTAGGACTTTATTTAAGGGATGACTTTTCAGGAGATTATAAATCATTCCCTCCAAAGCATATAGAAATGGTTTATATGACATACTCTACAAAACGTTATAAATTCTGCATTGGAGCAAAGTAAAAAAAAAAAGTGAACTTGTGCTTTCAATACCACCCTATTCCAAGAATTACTTTGAGGAGGTTTGATTTGGAATGAGGGAGGAGATACTGTTGCCTTTGAAATCCTTGTTTAGACACTGTGTATTCAGCTGCATTCTCCAGCAAACTGTGAGGTGTCACCATTACTAACATTAAGCAGAAAGGGCACTGTTTAGGGGTATGTTTTAAGTGCCACTGCTAAGGTGTTGCTCATCTTTTTTTCGTGGAAATTCCCCCAGCTGTCAGGGTGCATGGGTCAAAACTGGAAGTGCCCCTTTGTTTAAGCATTGCATATCCCAACCAACCAGGTTTGCTACAGGTCTGAGTCACTGACAGATATTTTCTCACAGTGATTGTCTACATAAACAAACAAAATTTTAATTTATGTGAAAGGCAGGTAAATAGCTGCCATTCATCGGTTCACACCTCAAAGGACTGCAGCAGTCAAGACTGGATCAGGTAGAAGTCAAGAGTCAAGAATTCATTCTGAATCTCCCCTGTGGGTGGCAGGGACCCAAATATTTGAGCCATCACCTGCTGCTTCTTAGAGTATGCCTTAGTAAGAAGATGGGACTGGGAACAGAACCAGAACTTGGACCCAGGCACTCCAACAATGGGATGTAGGCATCCCAACTAGCATCTTCACAATTATACCAAACATTCACCCCCAAAATCTTTAATGATTAAAACTTAAGACATATGGGCTCACTTAACAAGGTACAGCATCCTAAAGAGCAAAAAGACTCAGTCACAATGTGATTTCCTTTGCCTCAACCTTTAATGCTAGTTAATCATGGCTTAATTTGACTTAATGACAAACTTGTGTAAGATTTGAATGGGACATATTCTGTACTCTAAGATTTAAGGCTGTAGTTTTAGAGGAAGCATAAGGACATTTTCCCATGGCTAATTAGCAGGTTATCCTGACTAACAGATGGAATGAGGAGAGGTTCCCATTGCTAGATCTGACCCCTGACTCATCTTCCAAGGGTTATCTTTCTCTTGCTCAAAGCAAGCTTCTATAGAAGAGCCTTCCACAGAACATAGGGTGACCGAAGAAACCCCAAGTGCAGACTTTCTGGAAAATCTCATTCACTTCTCTCTACACTCTTCTTTCTCAAATGAGAGAACTGCCACATCAAAGAGCACTTGTTTTATAAAACATCCTCAACACATCTAATAAGACAATGTACACAACCTACTTTAGGATCACTGGAACCAGCACCATAGGTCAGTTCCTCCACTTTGAGAACTGTGATGGGCTGTGATGAGCCAGCAAACAGCTTATTGAAAGCACCCATGATGTGTACCCTGGGTGAAACTGGGGAAACAAAACCGGACAGAATGGAAGCTCCTTGTAACTTCTCCCCAGTGCCCAAAATAGTCCCAACTGTGTGTCCTAAGTACTCAGAAATATGTTGAATAGCAGTCATATAGGTGGGTCTTTACTGACAAGAACGCCTAGACATCCCTTGCCCAAGGTCACATGGCAGAAAAATAAAGAGCTCCATCACATCCTGAGCCATGCTCCTCATTTATCTGAAGTACAGCCCCCAGACAGCAGCCCTCGTGCTGACAGATGTCACTCACTCATCCTCAGTCCAGCAAAAGATAAGGCAGCACCCTAGGGCAGACAGTGCCTATTCCTGCTGTATAGGGTATGGAGAGGCCAAGTCAGAAGGGACTGACCTGTAGCATCTGAAATCCTAATGACCACCTTCACAGTGCCACTGTTCTTTTCTGGGATCAACCAACCTCTGATTCCCTGTGCCCTCAACTTTTTTTTTTTCCAAATGCTATAGAAGAGGTGAAGAAACACAAGCGATTCCACCTGCTTTCAAGAAATCCAGAGAGGATAACTCTGGGGTGCAGGAAGCTGGGAGACACTCCAAGTGCTCTCGTCGTGGTACTGGGCTCAGAAAATCAACAGATTGCTATGGGTACACGGAAATAGGGCTGCCTTATTAGACAAACCTTGTCTTTTTTTTTTTTTTAAATATAGTTTATTTTTATATTCTTTACATACTTAGTTAGAGTAAGAAGGTTCAAGGGCTACAGGAAAGTGGATAATACTAGTATGTTTTCCATATTGTTACCTTCATGTTTAAAAGGGGGGTATTAAGAGACAAACCTTGTCTAACACGTCATTCAGCAGCCTACTTCTCCCTGCTAAAGCTATCAATGTTCCTTTTCCATGCATTATTTCATGTTCAAGTGTAATCTGGATTGGATAGGAGAGGCTGTCCAGAGGAATGGCTCAGGCAAAAGCCTCATGTGAAGCTCAGAAAAGGTATCTGGTACTTAGTACTCAGCTCAGGAGGTGTGGGAGGGAACTTTTTCTTACAGGTAACTTCTCCCCAGTTCCCAAAATAGTCCCTAGTGTGTTTTGTTGCTAATGTGTGTGTGTGGCATTTGTATTTGATTTGCATGTAGTTGTGCCTAATTCACCTCCCTCTTACACTGTAACTTCCGTAAGAACAAGTACTATCTTATCTCTTTACTGCTTGTTGATGTTGCATGTTCAATGGACTTTGGCAGCCAGAATCCTGGCAATTCCAGGACTGTCCAGAAGCAGGGATTTGGCTCCATTTTCAGAGCTTCGAAGTTAACATTTCTCAGATTATAAGTCTCGTATAGGTGTCAGGAAAAAATGGCTCCCACAAATATTGATTATTGGTAAGCTCTGGGAGCATCCTGCTTCCTTGGCAGAGCAGCCTGACAGTGTCCAGAGACCCTTCTTCAGTGGGTATGGGACAGTTGGTGTTTAGCAATCAACTCCTCTTTGTAAGCTTTCAGCACTGGATACTTTCACCCTTTCTCCCACAAGAAACCTCCCATTGCTTTTAAGAACTATCCCAGATGTCACTGGCCATATTTTGATGCTATCGCAGAATGTGCAGACTAGGTAACTTAGAAAGTATTGCTGATAGTTCTAGAGAATTGGCAGTCTAGGATCAAGATGCCATCAGATTCAGCAACTGGTGGGACTCTGGTCTGTTTTTCCAAGGTGACACTTTGAATGCTGAGTCTTCAGGAGGGGAAAATACTTAAAAATGGGACAGACTCCCCAGCTCCCAATACCACTGTATTGATGATTAGGTTTCCAACACATAAATTTGGGCCATAGTGTCATGTATGGTTGACTAACCTGCCAAATATTGTCAAGTAACCCAATCTTAAGAATTTGGGACCTGCAAGTTCAGATAAGGAAACTGCATCCCAAACTCCCAAGATAAGGGTCAAATTAACACAGTCAGGAGTGGTGGGGCCATAGCAGAAATTCTCAGAAGACAGGAGGAAAAAAAAAAAAAAGACACAGTGAACTGAAGCAAAATCACTATCGAGGTCAAGTGGGGAAACCCAGAGGCAAGTTGCCTAAGCCTTTTCTGTGTTTTTGGACATGTTCACTGCTAGGCTTCTGGTTGAGTCCAACCTTAGCACTATTCCTGGTCACTAGAAATCTTCCCCCCTTGAGATGTGTCCCATGGTTTGAGTACAATACAACTGATGGCTTGTTTTAGGTGGGCAGCTTCACGGTATTCATGCTGTGACATAAGTCCCCAGGAGGCAAATCTCCAATGCCAAAAAGTGCCCAGAGTGCCTCATTTCAACCTGTAACACATAAACCAGTCAAGATGAATCCTGGCCCAATGCATGCTGTTGGGTTGGTTTTAAACCAATAACACCACGGTATGTTCTCTCGAAGGAGGGAAGGAAAGAAGGAAGGAAGAAAGGAAGGAAGGAAGGAAGGGAGGGAGGAAGGAAGGAAGGAAGGAAGGAAGGAAAGGAAAGGAAGGAAGGAAGAGACGTGTGTTTCTCTCCTTTAGAATCATTAGATTGAAAACCCAGTTTAATCTGAATGCTGTTCTCTTCTCACTGTCAGCCTGTTTCTGGACCAGTACAGAGCCAGCCTTGTTGATGCCATAAAGAGATTACTCCAGCCCAGGGTGAGTATGTTTCTATTTTCTCCTCGACACTGGCTATAGAATAATTAGTATTTGCACAAAGATGGAGAGAGCAATGGAATGGTAGGATTAATGTCATGTAAGATTCTAATACCTATTATGTCCAACTTCAATTGGGTCTTCTGATCTATCAGATTCTTTCCTAATCGTAACTAGGAAACTTCTTACCCTTGGCCTTCTGATAAGGAACACAGTGGGTAGCAAAATAAATGAAACTGCTTCAAAGATGGTATGAGATTATTTTTATCAAAGACTTTCTTGAGTCATCCTTTGATAACAATGTCTTCATATTAAAGGGAGGAATATGATATTGAAAGTTTCTGTTGACTTCTGTCATTTTACATCTCTTCCGTGGTGACCTTTTTCATTGGGCATTTATTTGCTGTGGAAGAATACTTTTCCCCCTTTTTTATTTCAGTGTATGTGAAAGGCAAAGGACTTTAGATGAATCTGTATATTAAAAGTTCTTTGCTTTAAAAGGAAGCCATTATTTACATATTATAAACATTAGGTCACAATGAAGCCAAGCATGCCATAAAATATTGTGCACATTTTTACATTTATATATCCATTTATGCCTGTGAGTAAATTACAGAGTTTGTATTCACTCTTATTTTGTTGGGCTGTTATATTAAGCTAGGAGGTCCTGCAGCCTAAACGGAGAGTTAATATACATCTATTTAAAGTAAGAAAACAGGTTTAAAGTGTATGCATTAAAGAAAAACTTAAAAGTATATAAGACTCTTGCTGTGCCATAGGAATTTAAAATAGGTTAACAATATTAGTGTAATTTAAGATAGGCACTCACATTTATCTCGGGACTACAGTGTGTGTGTGTGTGTATGTGTGTGTACACTCTAAGCTTTGTTTCTAAAGTTTTTTTTAAGGAAGATTTGCTTCTGATCTCAGACTTACAGATTAATACATCTCAATGTTTCTTTCATATCTTTTTCACAAGGAAGGTCCCCAGAGCAATTTGATAATCATCCTTTGCTTACACCATTGCTTTTTATTTTGTTATCTCTATATAGTTCAGGAACTTTAAATAGGTCTCTCTGAGGAGTAACCGCAGCTTTGTAAGTGGCAATCAATTAAATTAAATTGGCATCCTCACCTCTCCCAGTGAAGTAGGGAGTGGGCCTCCTGGCAAGGAAGCGGCCCATTGCAGGCTGTTCATGGCCATTGCCATGGCTGGGGAGGCAGCCCTCACTGAGGGGGGAGACAGCCCTCACTGAGCGGGGAGACAGCCCTCACTGAGGGGGGAGGCAGCCCTCACTGAGGGGGGAGACAGCCCTCACTGAGGGGGGGGACAGCCCTCACTGAGGGGGGAGGCAGCCCTCACTGACGGGGGGGACAGCCCTCACTGAGGGGGGAGGCAGCCCTCACTAAGGGGGGGAGGAGAAACTTGGGACCTCTTCATCATCACCCGCATGCCCAACCCACTGGGATCCTCGAGTGATTCCCAAAAATATTTGCAAGACCAGGATTTTTCACGGAGGTAGGGTACTATGAAAACACATCTTACACACACACACACAAAAAACACTGTCAAAACCTTGTGGGTCACATACTGCACACACTTTAACTCCCCACCAGCATGCCTTCCAAGTCAATTGCAGAGAACACTCCATTTTGTGGCAGATTTGCATGATTCACCTTGAATCTGTGTGACTGACTTACATAATTTACAGTAGAAAATTTCCAAGCTATGAATAGATGAACATACAGACTGTCCTGGAATCTCTAGCAGCTCCCATCTTGCTTCTGTTAAACCCTGAGCCACACTTCCCCTCTATGTGAAGCATAGCTCCACACAGCAGCCCTCCTGTGGATGGCTGTGGCTCACCCTCAGCCCAGAGGACAAGGCATGACCCTAGCATAGTTGGTACTTGCTCATTCTTTGTCACCTGACTAACATGGAGGTGGGCGCAGAGGGGCCTGCACCAAGCTACAGGATTGCAAATGGGACTGGAGTGAGGGTGGGGTTGTAGAGACCTTTTTTTAGACTCCTCTTGGAATGACTGATGCCCAAGGCTGCCAGATGTTCTAGTGTAATGCACAAAGGGCCCATGGTCAGAGGGGGAAACCCAGGTTGTAGGTGGACACACCAATGTACCAAAAACACCAGCCAAGAATTTCACCTGCCTTGGAGGTCTGGGGAAGCAGGGCACTTGTACTCCTTGGGCCACCACCCAGATAGTTCACAGGAGGGGTAGTAGTATGTGGACCTGGCGAGCACATCAGCTATTCCACATCCTCTGCTGGTGGGCCTGGCAGGGTTCCCACTACATGAGGGTTGCCAGAGGGAAAACTGGCCTTGTCTTCTTAGTTCACACAGCTGTCTGTCCTGCTTCCAGAGACCCAGGTGAAAGCCATGATCCCAGAGCATGGTAACCCTCAAGAGTTTGCTACCTCACAATTTGAGCTGGCTTTAATGTTCTCTGGAGCCCAGACAACACCACTGTGGTTCTGCATAGTGCCACAAGAGACACACAAGGAAACTCTGGGGGCCTGCAATGGTACACCCTGAATTCTTAGTGATTTAGCATGACATAGTATGAGTTCCTAAAGTACTTGGCAGCAGTTCTTTGGCCAGCTGCTTTAGTGTCTCAAGGTAAAGGGCAATGAGTGGACAAAGAAAAATCGAATACCAATCCCAAGTCTGCTCTTACCAACCACCACCTCGCTCAGAGCTTGAGTTTTCTCACTTGTAAAAAGATAGGATGAATTACACCTGCTTGTGGGCCGCCATAAAACATTCATCTGTCTCAAATATCCACATGCATACATGCCTATCAAATGCCTTGCACACAGGAGGTGTCCCACAGGGACAGCTGTTTCTTTTATTGAAAGAGAGAGAGGTTGGGGAGAGAAGGAGAGAGATCTTCCATCTGCAGGTTCACTCCCTGAATAGCCGTAACAGCCAGAGCAAGGTCAAGACAAGGCCGAGAGCTGAGAACTCCATCCAGACCTCCAATGTGGGTAGCAGGGATCCATCTCCCTGAGCCGTCACCCATTGCCTCTCATGTTGCACATTTGCAGGAAACTGGAGTTGGGAGCAGAGGAGCCAAGATTTGAGCCCAGACACTGATAGGACATTTAGGCATCCTAACCACTGTGCCAAACACCTGCCCTCCCTCCACCACCACCCCCTGCCTTTTCCATTTTTATAATGAAATCATAAACAAAAGGAAACAGTCTTCCTCCACCACATGGAAAGCTTGTAGTCACCAGAGTGAGTTCCCAGCTTGGCCAAATCCCAAAGCGACTCTAGGTTCTCAGCCAAGTGCCTATAGAGTTGATACAAAGAACCCCCAATTTCAGCAAGAATATTTGTCACCTGTCCCAGATGGAAGCCTCTCTGCCAGTGGGTCTAAAGACACTGTGAAAGCAGTTGGCTCCTGCCAGATGCTGCAAGGGATTCTCAAGCAAACTTACAAGATAAAAAGCAAAGAATAGATATTGAGGAGGAATGAAGTCAGCAGGTTTTACTCCTCCCAACCATTTCCCCTTTGCAGAGCGCCTTCCTGTGGCCATTTGGAGAGTGAATCAGCAGATGGAAGATCTCTGTATGTGTGTCTCTCCTTCTCTCAGTAACTCTGAATTTCAAATAAAAATAAAGCTTTAAAAAAAAAATCACAGGTGAAGAAATTAGATTGGAGTAAGGGAGAACCTGAAAGGCACATGGCTCATCAGCAAGGCCTGGTAGACTGACTTCCATCTTGGGAGATTTGCCCTGCCAGAATGAGGCTCTCACCAGGCTGCGCAGGCTCAATGGCTACCAGGTGGACAATGGACAAGAAGGGCTGGGGCCCTTCTCCACTGCAACTGCTGCTTTCCGCAGTAAGCTAGGCATGGTGGGACACAGCAGTTCACCAATAACCAGAGGAGGATTCTGTGGGTTTCTGACCCTACCAGCAGATGGGAGCTCAAGCATACTTCAGCACCATCTCAGTGCACCGACTGTGCCAGCCTCACAAGGTAGACTGAGAAGAGGGAAGAGAGTGGGTTTTCAGCAGTAGTCATTTGGCAAGCATGTGCTGAGTGTCTCTCAGACACCAGACATTGTGCTTGGGTCTGGGGTAAGACATGACCTGCCTGTGAAGGATCATGGGTTAGTGAGCAGTGACCTAACAGTGTGCCAAGGCACGACAGAGGTGCAGGCAACCTATAGAGACAGGGAAGGGAAGTGGCTCACTGGAGGACAAAGCACAGTGTGGATTCAGAAGCAAGCACAGGGTATGTAATTGCGGTGCCTAGGAACCAGTAAGAGCTCGCAGGGCAGACAAAGCATGGGAGGTGAAAGAGGCATTCCACTCTAAAGCATCGTTCATATGTTTGAAGACACAGGGATACAAGACAGAATAGCCTGGGGGCTCGAATTGGTTTGGTTTCAATAGAGCGAAAGGAAGCACCACAGAACAGCCAGAGAGGGCTACATATGGGGGCTTGGGTCAGGCCCTACGTGGCTTTGCCAGCCATCCCTAGAAGATGAGTCTATGTCAGTGGCTTTCAAATGTTGTGTAAATGGTAGAGCCCTTTAGTCAAAAACATGATCAGTCAGCACCCCCATCGTAAAACTGATCAAAGAGAATTAAATTAGAATTAAATTTGTTGTGAGAAGACAACCAATGCTTCCTGGATCTCGGTTTCTCTTGTGTGGGCAATTTAGACCACCGTGCAAAAAGCATCTGCAATAGGTGAGAGTGATGCAGTGGAGGAGGTGGGTGAGGCATTGAAAGGTTTTCCAAGATGATGCTGTGCTTCCCAGGTCTCCAGTTTCATTTTAAAGTTGATGGATACGAAACTGTTCGATACGCAGCGAGTTCTCAGTGCATGTGTGCGTGTGTGTGTGTTGTGCCCCAGGAAAGGTAGTGTATTGAGTGCCATTGGAAAGAAGATGAATGAAGATATTTTCAGAATATCCATGTGCAGAGCCTAGTAGGCACTTGCAAATATGTGTGGGGCCCTCAAAGTCATAGACCTGTTTGTCGTGGGTATAGCTGATGCCATGGACTTCAGTGTGTGCCTGGAATTATCTAGATCATGAAAAAAATAGGCAGAGCCCTGGGGGACCCCTGACAATGAAGGAGCAGGAGAGGGAAGAGAGGCCAAGGAAAGAAAGAGCACATGAGAAGCCAGAGGAGGCTGCATCTTAGAAACCAGGTGATTTTTTTTTAACAAATAAATAAAACCAGGAAATAAGCATAAACTTAAGCATGCAATCGATATTTAATAGTTGGTTGCCTGGAAATGAAAAAGAGATGAAGGCATTTCAGTGGCATAACATATTCCTTTTAAAATAAATCAGAAGCATGCTTGTTTTTCTTGCAGAAATACACACCCTTAATATAAGAGAATAGTCTCACAAATTAACAGCCACAAGCTCCCCACGTAAACAGTGTCACTGCTTGGTGGAACTTTTCTCTCCTGTCTCGTGTGGGGCGGGGGCTAAGGGAAAGGAGGGAAAGAATTTTCTCAAATTTCTGCTCATGCATCAACATTTTACATTCAATTGAGTGTTCATTTTGAGTTTAAAATGATTCTGTGATTGAATGCTTAGAAAGTTGTGCTTTGGTTAATTTGAAAATAATGGTTTTTTTTCCTAAAGTGATGGGATAATTTGAAATCCATATTCCTTTTCCTGTTTTGATTTTTGCAGCCTAAATTCTAAGACTGCTCCTCTGAGTGTCCTGCTACACCCATGAAGTGTGCTGTGACCCAGGCCACACTGAGGGCTTCTAGATCTAACCCCCCACCCCCACCAAACAGAGAGAGCCAGACACTGGCGTTCAAGGGGACTCAGTGGATGTTTGCTGACTGAATGAACAATAGACTGTTGTTCCTTCTAAATATCAACCCATTTCTCCACGGTGTGCCTGTATTCGACCAATAAAAAACTCACTACAGAGTAATTAAAAATGAAATCTAATGCCCCCTCTTTCCCTATCTCGAAGATATAGGGTTGTGCCCTCTGCAATGTCTTCTCCCACCTCATCTCCAGCAGCAAAACTCTATAAAAGCTTTCTGGAAAAACATCTTTTCATAAGAATAAGCAGGACAACACGGCCTTCAACTTCGCAAAGACTTTTGAGATCATTCAATGCCTGGATTTAGTTGACTCTCTCAACAAATATTGACCGAGTGCCTACTACATGCTAGGCACGGAGAAAATGCAGTGAACACGACGTTAGAGGATGCGGTTGTCATGGAGAGAACAGGCAATAAGAAACAGGGATATAAAGTGTGTCAGCACTGATGAGTGCTAAGAACAAAATAAAGCAGGGAAGGGGGTAGAGACCTTGAGGGAGGGGGGCTGCTGTGCTAGATGAGGTAGTGAGGCAGAGGGGAAGTGAGACCTGAAGGAGGAAGGAGGGCTCTGGGCAGGGGGCACTGACAGAGGCTTTAGTCATAGTCCCCTTGTAGCTCATCCCAGCCTTCCCATGGGTGGGATGTCGGGAACTCATGTCTTAACAAATGCAAACGCTGGAACTGCCAGGATGCTTGCAGCCCCACCAATGGCACAATACTTAGCCTAGGTACAGACTGTAAAACCAGCTCTTCCGTTACAACTGTAAAACAATCCTTGTAGGGGACTTGAAAACAACTCCCATTATTCAAACATCCAGAATAGCAACCAGCTCTTACAAGTGATGGAAGTGACCTGCTAGTCTGTCTCTCTTTCTCTCTCTTTTTTTTTTCTCTTAATGGAAACTCTTGCTGTCCTGCTGAGATCACATATTATATCTAGTTTCACATAAAAATGAATTTTTGCTGCTAAGTTTGAAAGCTGCCTGAAAATAGCAATTAATAATGGAGGCCCTGACAGAATCTTTAAGTATAGTGGCATGATTGGTGCTGCTATAATTATGTGCCTGAGAGTGTACGTGTCTATGTAAACACAGTGTGAGAACATGCTGATGGCCAGGACGGTGTATCCATGTATGTTCTTACAGGTGAGAGAGAGAAGCTTGATAGAATTCTTATAGCATTGTGAATTTGTGTGAGTTTTTCTAATCTTATTTCTGCATGACATTGTTTTCAAATTATTTTCACTTTCATCATCTAATTAGATCCTCATGACTTCCTGGAGAGGGAAAAAAAGGCAGAGAGGGCTTTGTTCTCCCATTTGGCAGATGAGAACACTGAATCAGTGAGGCTGAGCTCAAAGGTTCTGTCGACAGAAATGCAAAGATGAGACTGTCACCTCCAAGGCCCATTCAGTCCTAGAGTTCTCTGTTTCCTTCTGATTGTCCTGTGGGGACACACAGCTATTTATTTGGAGATTCCTTTTAAGTGCAGAATCCTTCCCATCACATAGTTCCTCCTTCCCTGCAGCTGTAGTCATTCAGAACATGCAAAACCTACATTATGAGGTTGCTGGGAAGGAAGTTGAGAGGACTGAAAATAGGATTAATTGCACACCTAGCACTGGGGTAGTGATCGTCATTATCATCAGCACCAATGGAGAAGACAGTGTGGCCCAGTGGAAGAGCATCAGTATAGGAGTCAGGTGGATGAGCGTCTGATGAATGACCAATTGCATCATCCTCGCCAGTTATTTGGACCCCTTGAACATCCTGTAATATGGAGCAGATAGTACCTACCATAGAGGGTGGTTTGAAGACTAAAGGAGCTGGAGTAGACATGAATGCCTAGCTGTGTGGAAATGGGTGGCAGGTGTGAATGATAAACCACCTTTCGTAAGAAACCAAGCTGTTTTCATGATTCTCTCAAGATTTATGGTGGCATTTCAAAAGGGGAAGTATAACCTTGAAATTAACAGACGCATATAGCCATCTCAAAAAGAAAACAGGAAGAAAAGAAGGTTCTGAAGTTTGCCCACTGTGTGCACACCAGGGAGGGAGAGTCCACAGGCACCCTGTAGATGCCAAATGTTTGTTGTAGAGTTTCTATCGAAAGGTCTTCTGCAATCTGCCATACGGTTTCTTCAAGCCCTCCAAGTCTCCCCACCACAACAATCTCATACAACTGTGTGGTTCATTTAGAAAAACCTGTTTACACTCATTCTGCCACTTTCTTTGAAAAGCAATCATTTGAGTACTGTGAGGAGCTGCTTTGCTATAGCGCTGACAATTATGAAGGACTGAATGAAGTCAGGTACCAAATCCCATAACCTTGCCTGTGACCGCAGGGTCATGGATAAGGCTGGTGGCGGGACTGAGATGTAAAAGCTCTCCACCAAGGATGGTGACTCCTTGTCTCTAGGGAGGATTTCTTGATAGTGCATTTTCAGGACACAATAAACACTTAGAAGTGCATCTGTTGCCACCTGCTCTGGAGCTGTGTTGTAGATGTGTGGGTAGGTGCTAAGGAAACACAAGGTGAGTGGCATTACCCTGAACCAGTTGCTCTAAAATCTAGCCCATGGTTATCACCCAACGTCCCATCACACTTTGTTTCTTATATGTGTTGTTTGAAAAGGATTAAACACAGTATCTGGCAATTTGAATGTGAAATATATATTTTTTTCTGATTGGCTGGATCTCTAGCCTTGAAATCATTCTTCCTGTGAATTCCTATCCTGTGTGGATTTCTCAAGAACAATTGAGTTTTTCTACCTGAGAACAGAAAATTCAGTGCTTTGACCAGTTGCTGTTATGTTTGGTTGCCTTCCAGTGTTAAAATGTGTGAATTTCCTTTTGTATGTTCCAGGGGAAAGCAATGGTATTCGCTCCGTGCCGTGGGAATACTTTAAACCAGTTTTGCAATCTAGCTGAAAAAGCTGGTTTCTCTCTCCAAAGACATGAAAATTATGATGAACACATTTCAAACTTGCACTCCAAGGTTAGTTTTCTGCTTGTGTTAGATAACACTTTAATCCACATTGCATTTTGAAGAGATCATGGTCTTTTTGGCAGGTAACCTAAATATTTGATTAAAGTCCTCCTTAGGTGTGTGGTTTGTGAACAGCTATTTGTATCTGATTATTTTGTGTGGTAAAGCCATCTTTTATCTTTGTATGTCTAGTAGGATTTCTACAGAAGCCATTTCTGTTTACTCCTTTCTGCAAAACAAACTAATCTTTTCATTCATAATAGACCAATTTGTAGGGAGCAAGGGGAGGTGGCATCGAATGAATGATCAGCACGCATTTATGTTTTAATGAAAAACATTGGGCTGTTAAGTAGGTTAAATGCTTAGCAGCAAGGAAATAAATAGAAAATGAATGTCTAATTGTATCATGTTGGACTATAAATCTTTATCTCTGCTTGCTTTACAACTGGGTCAGTTGACAGTTTGAGACTGTCAAATCTCATACAGAATTTTCCCAGTTGTAGGGTTATACATTAGATCAAGGCACTACAAGATTTGGGTCAAAAGCACTTATTGGAGAGTGATTTCTAAGCCTGCTTACATAAAGCAATGTTATCAGCCTCTTATTATTTATAGGTATGGGACAATATAGGGCAGTGAGAGGCAAGTGTTCCATAGAAAACTTTTCAGGGTTTTCATACTTGCTAATACGTGTCATAGAGACAAGCATTACTGCCATAACTGTGTGCTTGAAGGAAATCTTCCCTTTGCTGATCTAGTCTGACTTTGGTAAGAAGACTTTGACCAGCCAAGATTTCTCAAGTTGTGATGGCAGAAAAAGGGACAATGTGAATAGCATTCTTTGTCACCCTGGGCTCTAATATAATGTAGAAGTGCACTGACTTCAAAAATCAGGTGCAAAACAGATCTGATCTTCCAAGCAAGAGAACGGAAGTTGTCACTTTCTGGAAATGGGTTCACTGCTGCTGTGGGTCTCAGGGATTGTAGCCTCTGGTGGGGTTGAGGAGTGGGGCTGTAGAGGATTAGAAAGAGTTGAACAATTCTCTCCCTGGGGAGACGTGCTCCCCATCTGGTGATAGAGACCCTCAGTCACCCTGTCAACTGCCCCACCTTGAACCAAAGCAATGGTGCTGCGGGCTTCACTTGGAGTGGGAAGGGGTTCTCCTGTCCCCCTGAGCTTCTTGGCCTGGGGGGCTAAGGTGGCTTTCACCCCAGAGTCACGTTAGAGCTACAGGGATCCATCAATGGCTGCTCCAATGTCACAGTGCATACTCTTCCCCCTAGAACAGCAAATGCTTTTAGTTTCCCAGGGACAGCTTAGGAGCGCCAAGGCAGGAGTTTTCCCTGCTGCAGAGAAGTTCAGTGCTGAGCCTCTGCCTCCTGCACCAAGATCTGGGTGTCCCAGGTCATGCAAGGCAGTCAAGGGGTCCATGCCAACCTGCCCTTTGTCTAGAACTTTAGAGGGTCCACACGTAGGGGTATGCGTTTGGAGGGTGGAGGGAGGAGCAGCTACTTCTCTCCAACCCTGCTAGCACAGCACATCCCATATACCCTTTAACACATGCCCCATGTATTTCTATTTACAGGGCACCATACCCAGTTAGTATTCCATTAACAACCACTGTCTGGCTGATGGGTCTCATAAAAATAAATATCAAGTGGCTTTAGTGTTTCTCTCTGCAAAATCACTTAAAGGGCAAATGCCACAACTTGCTGACATACTCTAAAAAACCCATCCCCTGCTCCCTTGTTATTACCATGGGTGAGTTTCATTTCATTCTCAGGAAGTAGAGCTCTCCAGGGATATTCCACAAATTTGGAATGCCTTGGGTAACATGCATACATGGCTGCCCATGACATACACAATGAGAGGTATGTCTGCTGCTAGGGAGGGGGGAAAAAGCCTCTGGCCCCATCCGTGCTTGCTCCAATGCAGGGAAAACCGGGAACAGGTTAGACAAGGCCAAGTACCATGACCTAGCTGCAGCATGCACAGGGGCGGGGGTGGTGGTGGTTGTTGCTCTTTGCAAGAGGAGGATCGCTTCCCAGAGGCAAGGCAGGGAGCCGGGACTGGGCTGGCTGGTAAGGAGCGATTCGTCTAACAGGTGTGGGAATACGGACCCAAAGCAGTAGCTGTGTCCTTTCTGTCGCTCCTGCCTGCCCTTACTGTCCCACCAGCCGGGACTAGAGCTGCCAGGCGGCGCTGACTGGAACTTCCACCCCCGGCGCCTTTTGTTGGCCGCGTACTAACTAGCAAGAGCTTAAAAGTTTTCCATCTTGAGCGGCAATCAGCTTTCTTTCCCCCTCCATCTCTGGCCAAAGCCCCGTGGTCCCTAGGACGCGCCTGCTCCCCCACGCAGGAGCAGCGATTTCCTTGGGGCTGCGTGTTATCCTCTTAGCCCTACTGTGTTGGAATAGAGTGTAACCAGCTGGAGGACTGTAAGACGCCTGATAATGCCGCTCTTTTCCGCAGTCCTGTCTTAATCTTGTTACACAAATGGTTGTGAAGAGATTCATGAATTTTAATTTTGCCCTCTGCATTAGTGCCTCCCGTCACTCATACACAGCTGCCTTCTGTGCCGAGTTTTCACCCTCCTCTTACAACAGGGGGAAAAAATTAGTTACGATCTTGGCAGTAGTGCAAGGTAAAAAAAAAAAAAAAGGAAAAAAAAACTACAGATTTAGGCAACCACCCATGAAGCTGATTAACAGTCACTGATCAGGAGGAACGGCTTTGCCTCTTAAACTTTTCACCTCTCATTGTTAACTGTGAAATTTTATTTCCGTTAAAAAGCAAGCCTGTAATCAAAACGGTGCCATTCTGCACTTTTCTGCCAGTGCTTTTGTGCGAACGGTGCCCATCACCAACGCCACTACAGTTCCCAGGAACCGGGCGGCCAGAGGTGCAGGGTGTTTTTCAAGCGTCGCCTTTCTGTTCACCCAGGCAAGGCGCAGAAAAAATAACAACCCCTCTGCTCCCCCTCCCGACCCCCTCCGTCTACCCATCAGGCTGCGACTCCAACGACTTGGCCCCACCACCGTACTGTTGGAAACCTTCAGGATGTTAAGATAGCGATTGTTGGAGCAAAGGAGTGAATGTGACTTTGCGATTTTACAGCCGGCTTGAAATGAGAGTGGACAAAACCACTCCCTGTTTGGCCAAATATTCTTTGAAAATTTAATTTTTATTTGCCATGGGTAGTTTCTTCTTACCCTCCCCTCGCCCCCCACCCCCGCCAGCCCGTCTAACTTTCGCAAAATCACCCCAATGCTTTTTTTTTTTTTTTTGTACTTAGGAAAATAGGCTAGGGCTCGCTTGTGGAAGGCGGTACATTGTGTTAAAGCCACGGCCATATAGCACTTCTGCTTATCTATTCAAAATGCCACATTACAAGTGGCTGGTGCTTATAATCTGTGTGGTGTGCTGTTGATAATTGTGGATACTGTAAAGGGTAAACAGTCTGAACTCCACTCCCGCTGGTGCTGCTCGAACCGTAGCGGGGCTGAGTGAGTGTGTTACATCCAATTATGAAGTAAAGCATAATGCTACTAATAACAGCTATATAATTTAGCGCGGTCCTCAAAGACCCTGTTTTAACCCATGAAATTGAAAAATTGTTTTAGTCACAATTTGCTTTTTGTTCTTTTTTTTTTTCAAGGTGCCTTTTTTTTTATTCCTTGAAATTATAATTATTAATTGAGCAAACAAGTACAGCCTGGGTAAATGGACTTTATTCTGAAACCTCATAACATCCCCCCTCATTGAAGCAAGCTTTGTGTGTGTTTAAGTACCCTCACAGAACAGACTCGCTGGATCCACAAACCCCTGTCAGCTCCTCCCAAGTCATAGTGCTTTAGTTTTTGTTTTGTTTTTGCTTTTGTTTGGGAGCTTGTCGTTTCTGCTCCATTGCAAGAAGGGCTCACAGTCAAGTTGGGGCTGCCTCCCCCTCAACGACCCCCCACCTTACTGCACCCCTTCTAGCCCCTGCTTTGGCCTCCAGAGGTCAGCACAGAATTCAAGTCAAAAGTGATTCTAACCCATATTTGCAGAATTATTTATCCCACATAGAACCTCAGGGACTTTTCTAAAGAGCTCTTTTGAGTCTCTGTATATTAGTGCATTGCGAGTGAGGGGGTCAGCTGATTCACGCTGAGTAATCAACTTTCCCTGATCCCCAAGTCTCCAAGGAAAGAATTTAGCCAGCTTGGGCCCTCTTCACCCCCCCCCCGGAAAGATTTCTATGCGCTCCCTCTATCACTAGGGCAACTGACAATAAAGGCGTTTACAGTCGGCAGGTTCTGGTTGGTAGTTACAGATTGGGAAGTTTGTGATTTTTCTAGGCACTGGAAAAAACAAATCTTATTAAAGAGTGATGTTGAGGGACCATGTGTTTAAAGTTGGGTGGCAACAAAAATCCCATGCAGATCTTTCTAAATAGACAAGTCATCTTCTGTGAACAGAACAAACTCGATGGAAGGAAACGGAAGTCTTTGCCGTGATTGTCTCACGCTCAGGGAAGCACATTAGAAAGCGAAGTCTGGATTGGTTGTGTCTTCTCTGGCAGACAAGAAAACACAGGCTTATGACTCCTGTCCTTAACAGTGAGGGCATGTCAGAGTTTGGGAATAGGATTTAGAAAAAAAAAAAATGTAATTTGTGAAGATTCAGGTTAACATGCCCCAGACACACCAATCCAAGTGTGATGTTGGAGCCGTTTATGTGGCTTTAGCGTAGGATGAGCATGAAGGAATGTTGGACTGATCTGAAACAATAAAGGGACTGGTTCCACGTCTAATTAAAATAAATATTTATCTGTTTTTTTTAAAAAAAAGTGAATTAGTCATTGGCTCAGAAACACCTTTGTCAAGAACATTACTTTTTATCTTAATAAGTGGCAAAATGACTGCCAGAATAAACATAAATATATGACTGTCAGAATTATGACTGGCTAAGCAAGGAAGTGTGCTTTTTATCGAGGAAGACTAACAAAATTTCACATGGGCAGTATCAAATACTGCTGCTGCAGTTGTTAGAATATGTCCCCTTCCTCGGGGGGAAAGAATTGGTGAATTCTTTGTCACTGATATTAAAACCCTCAAAGAACACCCAGAGAGCCTCAGAAATGGCCTAGGCCCCCTCAGCCTGTCCCTGTGCCCTGGGGTTGTGTCCAGATGCCAGCCCATGGTGCTCAGGGGACAGGGTGTGGGCAGGGATGATCCAAGAGAAGGGACCAACAGAAACTCTTATGCCGAACGGCTGACGTAAGGACCAGAAGCAAGCCCCAGCTCTCCCTTTAGTCCAGAAGCTCACAGTTCCTAGAGGTTGCAAACACAGTTTTGGGAATTACAAACACCCTCACCTAACACAATCCTACTGTACACTTGTTATGACAATGCTACTGAAGAAGACTTTGACTTGCATTTGTGTGTGTGGTTATTTTCCGCAAATGATACATGTGGGTAAAAAGTCATCTTCATATTCAGCAGTAAGATCAACTGGTAAAAATTGCTAGTTTGAGTTCCCTTTATCTTGTTCTCCTGTTATTGTTTTCAGCTGAAAAAGGAAAACCCAGACCTATACGAAGAAAACCTTCATTACCCTCTGCTGCTCAGCCTAACCAAATGCTGATAGAAGATCGAGCTGCTCAGAAGAGCAAGGAAACCACGAGTAACTGGGGCAAATTCTCACAAAAACCCAAATGTGCGCCAGGTCCCATGTGCAGCAAGCCCCCAGTGACCGGAGATCACCAGGGTCCCAGGGCCCAGCCCACACTGCCTCCCAGACATTCCACGGTGGGTTAGGGGCTCCCCTGTCCTCACTGGCCACCTTCTCTGGCCCTGCCTACATGCCCCAGCTCCCTGCCTTCTCTTTCTACATTTTGCTGGCTGCCCTTCCTGTACCACACCCCTTTTGGTATCCAAGTCTGAAGACACAGCCTGTGTGAGATCTGAATTTGACTCATGAGCAAACTAAATGTTGTCCTGAGAGATAGAATTTCTTTTGGTGACTCCTAATTCCACTTAAAAAAAGGGGGGGGGGGTGGGGCGGAGGGATAGAAGAGTGAGAGAGGAGTCTTTGTTCTCTTCTGATGGTGGTAATTTTTAATCAGTAAACACATAAACACCATGATTTCTTCCTGGTTAAAAAAATAATAATAATAAAGCACATCTCTCCAATCTTCCTCCTAATTGTTAATAATTAATTGTATTAAAACTGCCATCTCTTTCTCCCTTTCTCTTGTTGGTTTTTTTCCCCTGCTTTTCAACAGGATGCTTTTTTCCCTATAGATGTATAAGAAACGACTACATCAGCCCAAAGCCTCATAAACTGACCGTTTGTCCTCTGGACACAATAGCGTGGCCAGCCCTCTGCTCCTCCTCTCCAATTATGTGTGATTAGTCTCAGTGTGCTGTGTCAAGGAGGGGGAGTGTGCTGAGTGCTTATTATCTGTTTAGGTACAAGAAGAGCACATTTAGGCTCTGACTATGAATGAAAAGTGAGCCTTTATCAGGGCTTAAATCTAACTGCTGCTGTTCTGCCGGCCTCTTGCAAAACAGGTCCTTTCCAGAGAAATTTTGGATAAATGGTTGATCCACTAGATCTCAACCAGGGGGAGTTTTAGAAAAACAACAACTCAATCACTCAATTATCTTATTTAAAATAAGTATATACTGTTAGATGTCATGATTCAAGTATGTAGTATACATTTCAGAGGTGCTACCTGGGATGAAGAGGGAGCCACTTTTCTGCAGGAAACCCAAGACTATCCTTGCCTGGTACACCCAATGAGAGGCTGTAATGCCTTTTGTGGAAATGCAGCTGTTTATCTGGGAGGAATCATGTGTGCCCACTTTAGTAGTATTGTCGTCAGCAGGTTAGCCATGTATCCTCAAAGCCTTAGTCAGGCAAAGCACCCATTTGGCATGATGCAATTAAAGTGATAGGTGGAGCGGGCGCATCCTTTGCATGTTAAACAAACTTAGCTGCCACACAAACAGTGACTCTCAAATGTCTTCTCTGCTCACTTCTATCATCAAACAAATTTTTCACCATCAGTTTGCATGTCCTTGTATTCACTACTTTTTCTGCTCCATTAGAGCACCTAGATGGATCTGGGAAGGCATAGGTCAAGTCGCAGTTAGATCATACATTTCTTTCTCACAAAAACTTGAATTGCAATGCCAAGTGATGGGCTAACATCACAATAACAGCAATTTATTCCTCTTTGGATAAAACAGCAGTCTATTCTCAGTGCTAGATAAAGACCAGGGCAATGCAAACCAGCCATTTAGCTGAGTAGTTCAGCTAGTGGCAGCTTTCCTTTGGTGACTGTATAGGTTGCATACTGGCTTCATATTTTCTTGTTTAAAAAAAAAATTAGAATTTGGAATGTTTTGAAAGGCTATACAAGTAGTTCTATTTATACTGGTAGAAACAGAAAAAAAAAAATCTTCTGTAAAACGACTTGCAACTAAATCTGCCAAAGAAAACTCATCCCTCTAGTAGCACCTAGGATATAGTCTATTTTTTCTTTTGAAATATAGAACAGCAGGATCATAAGAGTATTTTCTTGGTTCTCTCATGAAAATACATGACTTGGCAAGAATTCAATTTGCATTTGTGTGTTGTCAGTGTAGAAATTCAGTTTATTTCTCTGGGAGAAATTGTATTTTGAGCAGTGTATTGTATTTTGAACTAGTGATATATTTTAATATATGTATTTATTTTTAAATATCTGAGAACAGCGTGTCAGAATTGAATTATTCCTACCAAAAGACACCTAGGAAAAAAAATATACTTATCATGTGATTAACATCTAGAAAATCTCCAACAGACTGTTAAGAGTTTGTTACCTAGATATGCTCTTTATGGAATCCCCACCTGGAAATACCTAGTCTGGGGTCTTTGACAGTTTGTAAGAAGCAAATGTTGTATATTATTAAATAATTTGGACGTGTTCCATCTTCTCAAATTTTAGTCAAATCTCAATATTGAGAGGGAAAAATATGGCAGCTCTAAAAAGCCTTATCCACATACATTTCTTTCAAAATTGATGATTATTTCTATGCATCAGTATTGGCTTGAACAATTATGATTGAAATGGCCCCTTCCATAATTATGTACATAATTACGCATGTGTTTGTTTCAAAAGGAAGCCTGTCTGCTTAAGAAGTCATAGGAATGATTATGATATTGTTCCAGTAGTGAACCTTTATCTTATGACAGAAATCAGGGATTTTCCTTTGTTAGACTAAGTATATTTGATTGGATGTGAGAAGGTTGGCTAATATCCCCCCTGGTCAGTTCTAAGGTGGTGATATGAACAGCCACATATAAGTTGGTTCTAAGGAATATATTTTATTTTATCGCAAGACACATATGCGGTGAATTGGGATAAAAGTGCTAGAAAAGACTACCTAAGAGGTTGATGCTATTTTGTATAAATTGTGTATTTTGTTGGCTTTTTGACTGAGCATGAAAATGTAACTTCCATTAGGGAAGGGTAATTTAGGTGCTCAGTATTCAGCAAAAAACTTGTCGGGGCCATAAAAGCTTTTCTGGCTGGTTCCTCGGGTGTTTTCAGAGAAGAGCTGCCCGCCCCTTGCTGATTTTCCCTTTGGCTCCAATATGGGCTGAATTTACCACTGCATACCTGTTGAATCAATTTGGGGATCCAGCAGTTAACTGAGTGAATGGAAGGATTAGTGGTCCTCTGGAGCCCTATTTCAACAGCCAGGTGTCTGTCCTGAGCTAGTTAACTGCTTTTGACAGCTGAGGGACCTGGTTTTAGTACGTAGGCTGGAGGTAGTGGTGGTTTTTTCCTTCTCCCTATTACTTAAGAGGGGCATCTCTTTACCTGAGGGTGAGGTGTCTTGTTTTTACTTGTAAATAGGCGTGGACTGTCGTCGCCCCAGCTTCTGAGGAGCTTTGTCTTTGTGCTTAGTCAGCATTTGACTTGTTTCCAGTCTGTGTCAGACAGTCTAGTAGGATTCTCCAGAGACCCCTTCCACAGACCCCCGAGGAGGGCGAGGGGCAGTGTGTGTCCTCTACCACTTGTGCCCACTCACCCCCACTGGGATGAGTATATCCCAGAGTGAAAAGGTGGCTCTGAAAGTCAGACAGATTTTAGCCAGAGCAAATATGTTCTCCTGAGTGGGCTATTTCCACATTAGCAATGAGCCCATTGGTGTTTAACAAGCCATTTAAGCCTGAAATGCCACTTTTCATTCTCAGATTTCATTTTACCCAGAGAGCTTACTGCCCAGGCTGGGGCTAAATCCTCCCTGTGTTCTCTGCCCTGGCAGTGTGTGCATTTGGAGTCTGCATTTTGCCTTTTTTTTTTTTTGTCCCCCTGACTTTTAAATTAATACATTTTTTAATAGATAAAACAGATCATACTGTGACTTTTAAAATGTCAACAAGCCTGTAAACAGAAATGTAATAAAATGGCTAATGGGAGATTCAATAGTTAATGGAGGGCCTGAAGTGTGAGCAAATACAGTAGCTGTATATTGGAAACTGTGCAAGTGAAGATGGCTTTAGTATTGCAAACTGAGGAAGAAAATTGTTTTTAATTAGCACCTTCATAAGAACTGCTGATTAATACTGTTTTGTTTGGTGAAAAGCTTTCAGCTGAGTAATTTGTACAGCCATTACAACAGTTTTGTTAGAGCGGGACTCCCGTTGTTAAACACAAACAGCAGATGATAATGGTGGAAGATGAGTTTGTCATGTAACAATTTACCTTATTGAAAAAAGCTTTATATAAAACCCAATACAGTAGGTACCAGCAGAAATCACATATTTTAAATCCTTCCAAAATTGCAGCGTGCCAGGCTTGTGGTATTTTTTTCCCCCCTTGGGGACTAGAAGCAGATTTTATATCATTTATAAAATTATATACACAATTTAAAGGTGGTGTGGCGTGGACAGACCACTTTCTCGGCAGCAGTTTACGTTGGAACGGTAAAGTGGCTCTGTATTCAAACACTGTCTGACTATACAAAGCAGGTTGAAAAATGGAAGCCTAATTAAATAATGTTACATGTAAATTCGCATTGGGACTGGAGGTGGGGAAATAAGAAATGATATTTCTGCCTTAGGTGGGTTTCTTACACACAGGATCTTTAAGGGAAAAAAATCTCAACGGAAGTTTTAATTAACCTTTCCCCTCCTCTGGTGATGTTTTAACCGACCACAGGAAATAATGCCCATTCAATGAGACCTGGCCAGGGAATAAGAAGCTGATTTCAGCGAACTCTCCCCATCCATTAACCGGGTATTTCAGTAGCCAGAAGCATGGGAACTTAAAAAATAAATAAATAAATAAAATGCAATAGCAAAACATATTTGCATTAAAATATTACACTAACCAAGGCTGGTAAGAACTGTAAATTATTGGAGTGGCGTAATAGAGCATGAGAGTTTTTTTTTTTTTTTCAGACAGGCCTTCGGGGTAATAACAAGGGTTGAGGCTCACGACAGTGCCAAATAAGCTTTAGACAGCATAATAGTCTGCAAAGAAAGCCACAGAGCACTAATGTGAAGGAAGAGCTGTCCACCACATGCAGCAAAAATCACCAAAGGTCATTTTATGGTAGCAATTGTGACATAAAATTGGTGGTCATGCTACATGTCTAATACTCAGCACAGCTTTATAAATGATGGGCCCCTAGCGATGGCTGTCATTAAGTGCTTTCATCATAATAAACTTTAAACTGTTGGCTTTATGAATCGCCAGCTAGCTTCAGCTGTTCGTCGGATGGAGCTTGCAGTGCCTTAAGTGTGACAAGACCTATTAGGAATTGCAACCATGTTTCAAGCGTACTTGGCTTCGCCACTCCTGGGGTGATTGCTGCCTATTAAACGGCGTCTGGGAAGATTTTCCTCCAGCAATCTCTGATCAAGAGCTTTTTTGGGCTTTGACCTGCATTTCTTTCAAGACTTTCTCTCCAAGGAGTTTTTTTTTTTTTATAAGAGCAAAACTCCAGAGGATTTATAGCCACTTCTGACTAATACCTTTCCAGTTGTTGTTGTGTTTTTTTTTCCTTTCCCTCTCCCCCCCACCCCCCGCAACACTTCCACTGCTGCATGGAGAAAAAGCTTTCATTGTTCCTGAGGTGCTTATTTTTGACCTTTTCTCTGCTCCCCGAGTCCCCCTAAGGCGCTCTC